GTTTTAAATCTTCCAGAAGTAACATAAGTGAAGAAGGGGAAGGTCTAATTTCCATATCTAAAGCAGGTCTGTATTATGTTAAAGAAATCAAAACTGGACTTTGAAGCAACACCGAGTTATACCACAAGATGGCGCAAAGAGTCATTGTAACCTTTACTAAAAATGGCAAATCAAGCCTGGGAAAAGACAAAACCTTGCGAAGAAATTGCCCTAAAGCAGTGATTCTCAAACTGTGGTACTTGGGCTCTCTCTGGTGGTATGCGGGAAATCTCCAATTTTTTTTAAAGATTAAATAATATACCATTGTGGAGGTATGCAAAGACGACACAACAGTTCCTGAGGCTCTTCTGGGAGCCGGAGTCAACGAGAAGACGCCTCCCAGAGTGTGAGTCCTCTATGAAGAGCAGCCTTTCGGAGGCCCCCAGGAGAATTGGTGGGGGGCTGTGGGAGATGTCATCGGTGAGTCAGGAACTATTGCCTGGATGCCATCCGCTTCTTCTGCGAGTGAGCGGTAATCCTTCGCGGACCGGAGCAGGGAGCTGGCAAGGCCAGCTCACACCGGCATCTGTTGGAGGAAGGCGTGAGTGAAGAGGAATCCGCTGTCATCCATTCCTAGCAAGGACAGCGTGCTTTCCATGAGCTCGAGAGCGGTGCCAACACCAAGGCCCAAGAGATAGAGGAGTTTCTCGGCCTGCATTGGAGAGGGAGTAGCGCCGTAGCAGCAGCGGCTTGAGAGCGGTGTATTTCCCTTGTGTGGTGGGATCCCGGAGGAGGGTCATCACACGGCAAAAATTAAAGCGTACAGCTTTGCTATCACTTCCGACATAAATGAAGACAGAAAACTAAACAGCAGTGACATTTGTAGGGTTACTGAAGTTGGGCTAGCTGGTATATAATAATGTGCTACGTGGTAGCTATAGCTACACAGCTATGGTTAGCATAACATAAACACAGTGAAGCTGGAGGCTGAACGTTTACTTTTATCCACTAGATAAAAGTTAACGTGAGAGTTCCTGATGGTCAGGGACAAATGCAATCGCATGGCAGGATGCTGTAAACAGACCAAACTTCAGTCAGGAGAACAACTGAGATATAAGGTTAGTCATTAATATACTGCTGCATGGGCTGAGCTGTAGTTACATGGTAAGGATTTAAAAACTGAGCTTTAAAATGAATAGTGATGCTAAAAACCGAGAGAGGCTGACAGTGATCACTGACTTTTTTTAGGGGCTTGTTCAGATTGAAGAACACAATACAAAGCATTAAAACATGTTAAAAACACAACAGCCTTTATAAAAGCAGAGTAGTTTGGACCCAGAAGCAGGGTTCATCAGGTCATCACTTAAAGATTGGATATCCCACCTGCTGCGAATGTTTTAATGCAGTACAGTTGTTGTTATTATTATTACTTGTCACATCCTATTTATGACAGTTAAAATAAATAACATTCATATAAGAAATAAAACTGTCTGTGTAAACTGTATGTGGTGTTAAATAGGCCTATACTACTGCACTTTAATGTCGGTCATAAGGGTGGCACTTCAGGAGCCATATATTTTACGAGGTGGTACTCATTGTGAAAAGTTTTAGAACCACTGCCCTAAAGGAGTAAAGAGAAATTAAAAACTGAAAAAACCCCAAAACAAAACAGCAGAACATGACTGAAAACGTTTCAACAAACCCAACAATACAAGCCTGCCCCCTGGTGGTCAAAGCTCTGGTAAAAATTTGTGGAGGGTTATTAGAGAAAGTACTTTTAACAGCTTTGAATCCACATTAGAAGGTCAGTTCATCCCCAAAAGTTAATTTACATCATTTCCCTCTTCAATTTAGAAAGGTTTGGTGCGATTTGCCCAGTTTTAGAGATATTGTTTCTATGACACGACTCAGGTTCTCAGGTTGGCAGGTTATTACCAGAACCAGATCACCATAGGGTGTGTCACATCTGGTCCAGTGGATGGGGCAGTGTCAGGTGGCACTTTAGTTTTCTATTTTTCTCTTTTCACACCTACCTTAGTTTCCTCAAGCCGTCTATATATCTGCCAGAAGTATTTGGTGAAGAGCTCTTTTTCGATTGGCTGGCCATTGATCCGAATCCTCTCTGTGACTTGGACCAAATGTGGAGAGCTGCAACCAGGAAAAATATTTGAAGCCTGTTATTACCTGTCAGTCTCTCCATCTAATTCCTCCTGTGTGTGTGTGTGTGTGTGTGCGTGTGCGCACGTGTGTGTGTGTGTGTGTGTGTGTGCGCGTGTTCAAACTGCTCAAAATATCAGAGTAATATCAGAGTAATCTGATTACAAAAACTAAACAACCCATTTTACTGTTCAGACTACTCGAGAAGAGCACAACCCCAACATCTGGACAGCTGTTACATTCAAATGTAGAAATAACAAAAGACTTTATAGCTGAGTATGGGTGTGTATTTGTGTTTTATAGCTTATTTAAACCTTTCCAAGGACTGCACAGAAATCTGAAACAAAGCATGTTTTTATGCAATAACACTGCAGTAACCACCTGATACAGTAAGCACCATGGTTTACCTGAAAAATCCTGTGCGGAAGCCGTAATTTCTTAAAATCTGCTCAGTGAACGCACACGTCGAGCCCTGAAAGACAAACAGTCATCATCTGGATTCATGATGTAAATGTGTGTTATACATAATTTAATTGAAGCCAGGATCTTATATACCACACACTCATCTCACATAGCTTTTATATTCTGATTTTCACACATTTTTATTTATTTGTTTATTTATTTTTTGTGGAAGACTGTGATGGCATCAGCCACACAGGGGTAAATTAGTCCATTTTTCACTTTATTAGTTTGCTTTGCAGTTTTCTTCATTAATATAATTCATTAATCATTTAGTTAAACCTAACACTGGTATTATGAGGCGCGCACATAGTAACATTGTGTGGTTTTTCTAAAATGTTTTGTTATATTAATTATGTTTCTCTTTCTTCGAGTTACCTGGGTGTGGGCGGTGGCTGTTTTCTGTCTGTGTGGTGTGGCTGAGGACTCTGGGAACAAAATGCCTGCTCATCAGGACGAGCAGGACCAACCATGGGCAGGGGTTTTTTAGGTTTAGCTACCCTCATGTGTCTTTGTAATTAGGTCAGTTTGTGAGTTAAGTTGTGTCTCATTTTGTTTTGTTTAAGTTTCTGGAAATTACTTTTCGTAGAGTTATATTTAGTTGACCTCTTTTATGGGCCTGCTAAGTATGGTTTTTGAATTTTGTTAATTTTGGACTTTTTGAGGGTTAAAATAAAGAAAACTCTTTTTGAAGATATTTTTTTGCCTGTGTATTCTTTGCTTTGGCTGCTTGGTCCCTCACAAAGACAAATGTGAGATTTCTGTGTGTTAACATGAGGTCATTCTTATGTGTGCCCTTTGTCCTGTCTTTCTCCCCTCACCCCCAACTGGTTGAGGCAGATGGCTGCTCCTCCCTGAACCTGGTTCTGCCGGACGTTTCTTCCTGTTGAAAGAGAGTTTTTCCTTCCCACTGTTGCTGAGTGCTTCCTCAAAGAGGGTTGTCTGATTGTTGGGGTTTCTCTGTATTATTGTAGGGGTTTTACCTTGCAGTATAAAGCCCCTTGTGGTGTGATTTGGTCTTATATAAATCAAATTGAACTGAACTTAATTCTAATTAATCCACAGAAAGGGCCTTTCTGATATAAAGAACACCTAAATGTCAGCTCACCTTGCCCTTTGTTCCGGTCACATGAATGATATTGAGACGGTCAAGTTCATCCACCTTTGATATGCATACAAGCACAGACATGTAGTTCAGTTAAGACTGAAGGCGATAATAACTGTAACTGTGTGTAATCTCTGATGTCACTGCTGCTTTGATTGCCTCACCGTGAGGCCCGCTCGTTCCAGGAAGCCTCTCGTGGTCTTTAGCTGCAGGTGACGTTTGCTCTTTAGCTCCTTCAGGGCGGCACCATAGTCCTGCAACGTGTTCAGGGTGGAGATGGCGTCCTGTGGTAAAAGTACAAAAGGAAGGACAGAAAAGTTCAAAAGTAACAAAAATGTGTCATCTGTACAGAAAAATGTCTGCATGAAATGATGAGAATCAGGATGTCAGGACAGTCTGATTGAAATGTAAATAAAACGATGATAGAAAGTGAAAGAGTCTGTTTTCCTACTAGATTTTAGGAGGGGAAAGGGAACCTTTCCAAAAGGAGAAAAAAGGAATGATTCATGCTTCATGATCAGCAAGTTGAAAAAGCAAAATTGTGAAAAAAAAAAAAAAAAAAAAGACTTTTTAAAACAAGTTCTCTTTTAAAACTATAAACTTTAAAAATATTTGCCAGTGCAGAATTCCCCTACAGATTTCAGACTTTTGGAGAGCCGTGTCCCTCTCCAATAACAAAAATCCCTGGACAGCACCAGCCTTTGCCTTGAAGCAGCAGCTCCACAGTCACAATAATAGAACAGCTGCTATAAAACACTAAAACAGAAGAAAATCTCAGCTTACCATTTCTGTATCCATGGCGGCTCTGCTTCAGTCTGACACCGTTGTGTCAGTTTCTGTTACAGCAGGTATGCACTTATCTGATCGCTTTAAACCCCGCCTCTGTCTTTGGGGCTTTTGTAACACAAAGTTATTTGAGGATTCGTTTTGGATGAGTTTACTGACTGACGCGCAGAAGAAATAGTTCTTTATGGAGCCTAGATGGTGTGAATGATGAGACCAAAGACTGCAATATCTTGTACCAAAAATATATTGAATAAATGGGGGAAAGGGGAAGTGGAACAAAATAATTAATGCAACACACGACATAAACAAATGCCCACAATTAATTAAAAAATTAATTGCTGTGATTTTCTGTGCAAGAGTCCTTTTATTAAGAGTCCTTTTTGGTCCTTTTGGTCCACCCAAGTTCACTTTTAAGGTATTCCTCCTTAGGGTCCAGCTTCATACAATGGGGAAATATGTCCGTAATCCAAAGACGGCAAAGTGGGGGG